ATAATATAATTATTAATATCTAGAGGAATAAGAGTGTGAAATAGCAGAACATGTGCTGCAGTTTATTACAAGCATTCTGTAGCGTAATATACAACACCAGCATACACTATACACACTATTATACACTATTACACAGAAAACACACATTTTACACACTTTTTATAGTTAAAAGTTGTTGGATTACAGATCAAGATCCCATAATGCAGCTCAGACGCAGAAATAAATGAGTAAATAAAAACAAGAATGACAGAAAACTGCTGATCTAGCTATTGTTTACTGTGGATTTGTTGATGTTGCTGTGAGGTTAACCCTCCTGCTGTCTGTAATTCTCTATACACCGATCACTCTCTGGGTCACAAATGAGCCACTAAACCTCTAAAATAAAGCAGATTAATTTCATTTCAATCCTCAAATCTGTTCTGCATGAAGAAACGAGCTGATCTTCATCACACACTCTGTGAATGTTTGTGTGTTCCCTCATCAGTGTGCAGTATTTCAGCCGTGTTCACTCAGTAGACAACACTCGAGTCTCAATTAAAGCACCTGCAGAAGAGTAAAGGTGTTCATCAAGACAGTATTCATAACAGTTAAAGCAGTGTGTGTGTGTGTGTGTGTGTGTGTGTGTGTGTGTGTGGATATGTACATGAGAACGTCCTCGTTGTTCCTCATCAACACTGGAGATTATAAACAGCAGAAGTGATCATCCTCATATATTAGTTTGAGTGTTTGTATAAGTGCACTAGCGCTGAATATTGAGATCAGTCCAGCCATTACACTGTTCTAAACGTCTGCTGGACGGATCAGAACCTGTCCAGCTCTGCTCACTCATGCTCTAAATAAATAACTAGCTTGTTTGTCGTTATAGGTGTTGACTCGAGTCATGTCATTCATATTTTGTGCTTTTGAACCACTGTTAAGGGCACATGCAGTAGTGTGTATCGATGTGCCCTGGTTTTCACAGTGCATTGTGGCACTTTTCAGGTTCATTTCAGTGCACTGGAAGAATTTTGTGATTAAGATAGCACTTAAAATGGCTGACGCCCTAATTAGTGCACTGACTAATGAACAAGGGTGCTGATTGAGACGCACACTTTGAATTTCTACCATTAATAGTAGAGTCTCCGAGAACTTTTGGCATACTCTCATTAACATACTACGGTTTGGGATATAGTACTTTTGTTTGTGAATACTGTTGAGGATGTATGGCATGTGAATTGGGACGCAGCAGTTGTTTAGGCTGTTTTCTGCTGTTGAAATGGCGAATGGGTCATTGGACAGACGGGTTAACGTCCTGCAGGGTTAATGATGGGCGTCCTCCCTCACACTCCATTAGAGGATTAATGACGACGGATGGGCTTCTTCCTCTTTTCCATTCCCAGCCCCTGTTATCCCGTGCTGTCAGGAATGCAGGAAACAGTGGCAGGCACTTCCTGTCTGGCTGTGAGTGTGTGTTCGTGTGAGTGAGTGTGTGCGTTGCACGACTGAAGCCAAACACTTCTCACAAACTCTTCTATTCTTCATCATGTTTTTATTAATGCTCCACCATCATACACACTCTCTCCCGCTCTGTGTGTCAATCATTCTCTCTGATTGGCTGAGAGCCTGTGGTGGGTGGTTCTTGGTGTTTTGGACACGCTCAGTGATATTGTCTATGATTTGTGTGTGTGTTTGGCTTGCGTGTTCTGACAGTGTTATTAATGCGGCTGTTTTGCTTCATGAAGCCGCATGCGGGCCAATACGCGAGTGGAAGGGGGGATTTTTCAAGACAAAGATGACTAAAGTGAAAACCTCCGCTTGTTTATAGTGAGTATTCGTCTGATTGGTGTGATATGTGTCCTCTCGAAATTAGTTTATAAATAAATCACACTTCACGAGCTCACACTTAGCTGATGATTGATAGTAAAGCGTGTCTGGCATGCTGTCCTGGGTGAGAATTTGAGCTCAGGTAGTTCTCAAGAACTCCTCAAAATGCTTTTAGCCTGAGACAGAAGCCACGTATTGAAGAACCCCTTTAAAAGATCAATGCTATATCCGGCTGCTGGATGTAGGATGGAGAAGAGAGGCTCCTGCAGGAGAAAAAAACAGGCCTTTGAGAGAGTCTGATATTGGGCGTGGAAGAGGCTGAAATTGGCTCCTGCGGGAGTTGAGGCTTGGGGGACACTCTTGCAGGAATTGGAGCACGGTTGGGCGGGCTCCTGCAGGAGTCGGGGTAGATTTTTGGATGGCGAGGACTTCTGCGGGAGAGGGGTAAAATGGGCAGGACTCTTGTAGGAGTTGGAGCTTGGGAAGACACCACCGGAGTCAGAGCTTGGGGAGTAATGGCCTATGTGAAAGAAAGAAAGAGTCGCGGAGGAACTTAATGGTAGAAGAAAGAGAAAGTAGCAGAGGAACTTGATGCTGAACGGAGTGGGGAGTTAGAGGTAGAAGGAAGAGAGGAGCTGGAAGAGGGAGGGGGTGGAGGAAAGAGCGGAAGCATTCAGTGCTGGAAGTAAGGTAAGAAGAGGCAGAGGAACTCCACGCTAGGAGAGAAAGGGAGATGCGGAGGAAAGCAAAGAAAGATATTTGGCAGTGGGGCAGTAACTACTCCAGTAACTAAGAGAGTCAGAGCTGTGGGGTGAATCTCCCGCGGGAGTCTGGGAAAGGGAGGGGATGGTGAAGACTCCTGCGGGAGGTGGAGTGAGCAGCACTCCTGTGGGAAGTGGAAAGGGCAGGACTCCTGTGGAAGGTGGACTGAGCAAGACTCCTGTGGAAGGTGGACTGGGCAGGACTCCTGCGGGAGTCGAAGCTCACGAAAAATGATGGGGGCTTTACTTTAATCCATGTTTAAATAACATTACGCTTGGAATCTTAACATAATTAAATCACAAGCATATCTGACCAAAGTCATTCACAAAGTAATTTACAACTGGGTCGATTCATAAACTGCCAAGAGAGAGGGCGGGACCGTCACCCATTCTGGGAGCTGCTTGATTGGTGACAGTTCTCCTTTCAGCTATTGGTTCAATGGAATGTCAATCAGGGGTGCAAAAGATCGGCAGTCATTTTGATGATGAAATGTTCACATCTGAAAGACGCTACTTTACTAAACGCACTGACTAGTTTTGATGAAAGCAGTGCATCCCGTGGATGTTTATTTAGGTATAAATGTTTTGTGGACTGGTGTTTATTGGAATTGGATTGCCTGGATGCTTGCAGTCAGATTACCCCATGCAGTTGGAAAGTAATGTATCTGTGGACAGACGAGACGCTTGTGAGGTGAGTTTCTTCAGTTTGATATCGTCTCTTTGGTAGTTGAGGGAGCGTTGGTGTATGTTAAACACATTTAGAATCTGTATATCCTGCGTTTTGCGTTCTGCCGAGCTGTAAACACTCTGGTCATGCATAGCTGCCTGCTTCACAGAACTGCTTAGTCTTTCTTGAAGCCTTTCCTGTTTTCAAAATAAGAGTCGCATATGCAGAATTTGTTTAATAGAATTAAAATTTTTAAAAAGGAGAAAAAGGATCATTGTTGTAATCTCACTTGGAAAATTTGTGGACAATGAAAGGCAGCCTAAAGCTCGCATATTGATGATCCTGTGTGTAATGTAGCAGTGTGTGTTTGTTTTGATTGGCCAGTTTGTTTTGCTGGTGTTTTACACTCCCAGTATTTACAGGAGAATGAAGAGGCAGTGGTGTTTGAGGCTCACGGTTTGACTTTTGGACTGAACTCTTATTATTCAGCAGAGCTCATCTAGATCCAGATTTACTGTATATCACCTTAAAAAGGTGCATTATGGAATTCCAGCCAGGAGAACATACCATGGTTCACTGTGGTTTACTGTGATTTACAGTCATTTACTGTGGTTTATTATGTTTCAGTGTTGTCTTCTGTGTTTTACTGTGGTTTACCATGTTGGACCTTTTAATGTTTTAATCTGGTTTACTTTGTTTTACTGTGCTTTATACAGGTTTACTGGGATTTATTGTGGTTTACCATGATTTACTGTTGTTTACAGTGGTTTACTGTGGTTAATAAAGGTTTACTGCGGATCACAATGATTTACTGTGATCTACTTTGGTTTACCATGATTTACTGTGGTTTACTGTGATCTTTTGTGGTACATCATGATTTACTGTGCTTTGTTTTGTGTGTTTGGTTCACTGTGATTTACTGTGGTTTAATTTAATAATTTATTGCTTTTAATAATTTATTTGATTAAATAATTTAATTAATAATTTAATATTAATTTAATAATTTATTTAGTTTGATTTGTCATGGTTCACTGTGATTTACTGTGGTTTAGAGTTCATTGTGATTTAAATGAGTTTACTTAAGTTTACTGTGATTTTACTGTGGTTTAAAAGGCTTTACTGTGATTTTTCTTTGATTTACCATGATTTACTGTAATTTAATGTGGTTTAAATGGTTTGCTGTTGTTTACTGTGCTTTATCGTGATTTACTGTGGATGGCGGTGATTGACCCGTGTGTCCCGCTCTGCTCCTCAGCTGTTATCAGCCGTCTGCAGCCTCTTCTGTTTCCCACAGCGTTTCCTCTTCCTCCAGCATGAGCGAGCGGCTGCAGGGTGTTCCTCTGGGTCTGCTGTCCGCTGTGTGTGTCCCTCTGTTCAGGCCTGGAGCTTGGTTCATACATGATTCCAGCTTCTCTAACCGAACAACATGATGCTGTTGAACACCTCACACACGTTACACACAAGCTCAATACACACTTCACATGTCCTCATCAAGCAGAGCTGTTTAGTGTTATAATATATGCTGAGAGGGGGGTTTAACTCTCTCTGTACATCATCATTAATGACGGTTGATGGAGGATTATTTTGTTTTGATGGCAGTTAAACTGGACAGTTCAGTAATCAGGGGATACGGGTGGGCACACGTCACCTCTGTCTATAATACTTCTCCACGCTTGGTTTGAATGATGTTTCACAGTGATCGCTCATACAGTTTATTACTGCAGTCACTGAAGTGTGTGTGTGTGTGTGTGTGTGTGTGTGTCGTGCAGGAGGCGCTGTCGGTGGTGAGTGAGGATCCGTGTGTATCAGAGTGTGTGTACACAGCGGCGTCTCCTCTGAGCGTGCAGATGACGGCGTCTGCAGCCGCTGAGCTCCCTCACAGTAAACTCCTGCTGTCTGCTGTCTCTGTCAAGCTGGAGGCCAGCGCTGGAGCACACCGGAGCCACTGCAGGTCAGTGTGTGTGTGTGTGTGTGTGTGTGTGTGTGTGTGTGTGTGTGTGTGTACAGAGAAGCTCCAGTGGCTGATCTTTCCATCTCAGGAGCCCAACAGTTGGTTACCACATGAGAGTATGTGTGTGTGTGTGTGTGTGTGTGTGTGTGTGTGTGTGTGTGTGTGTGTGTGTGTGTGTGTGTGTGTGTGTGTGTGTGTGTGTGTGTGTGTGTGTGTGTGTGTGTGTGTGTGTGTGTGTGTGTGTGTGTGTGTGTGTGTGCTGATGTGGAGTTTGATGGCAGATTCCTGAACAATCCTCCACATCTGTGTGCTCGTGTCAGAATGAGGAGTGATGGCAGAAACACT